GATTATTTATTCCTTCAACACCTCCAATAATCAGACCCCCTTCTGCCCACTTCCCCTGAAGCGGTGGGACACCCCTCTAGGCTGGCCAGAATTTTGGAAGTTGTTCATCCGGTTAGGCAGGGAAGAGGACTTCAGATAAAACACTACTTATATTTCAGGTTTTCGTCTCCCTTCTCAGCTCTCCCGTCGGTGTTTAGCAGATTCCCAGCACAAGGGTGTCAGAGACTCCACTGGCCACTCTCAGCTTTGAGGAGGTGAATAGAAGACGCGGGGACATCTCATTTATTTCCAATAAAAGAACAAAAGAAAATAGTTATGTGCATTATCTTGGTCTCCCGATGAATTCAAAATCAAAGGGAAAGCACAAAACGGTTTCTTATTACCTTGAATGTTCTCCTTCTAAATTACTATATTTTTGATGAATTTTCTGAGCACTTTCTCTAACTTGGTCCTCCCTCCCTCCCTCCTTGTTTTTGAAACAAAGTAGAACGAAGCCACCCAGTTCTCAACTCACAGGTAAAAATGATTTGAGCCGTCGCCCCAACCCTAAACTCCCACTGTGACTTTATTATTTTTAATACCTCGAATATTTTCACATCCATCTTTAAAAAAAAATATATAAGAACTCTAGCAGAAAAGTGCCTTTCTCCCGGAGTGCATGACAGGCACACTGAGTTCTTCTCGCAGTTTTACTGGAAATGCAAGCTATGGATCAAGAAACGCTCCTCGGTCTGTGGGCTTCCTGGAGAAATATTATTTGCTCTGCTTTTTACGAGGAGAGTGTGTGTGTGATGCCAGCGCTTAAATAGCTTTGTCGCAGCGCAGGACAAAACCTAAAATAGCTGAAAACTATGAAAAATAAATGAGAAAATGTCAGTTTCTGCCTGCGTTTGCATTCCCACAGGGGTGTGCACGTTCAAACCAATGCAATCTGAAAAAACTAAATTGAGCATCAAGTATATTAACCAACCCCCCCCCAAAAAAAAAATTAGAGGCGGGAGGAAAGAAATCCTTATAGTCAAGACAGGAAAGGTGAGAGACGTTTTCCTTTGCCCCTGGAATTGGGTTTCTTCTCCGCTCAGTAGGACTCCGGGGGAGATGTCTGCGCAGGTCATTAAAGCACCGCCGTCCACACACCTGAGCTTTGCAGAAACCCTGTTTCCCAGCTTTTCTGTGATCCGCCAGGTATCTTGGACGGGGGCTGCCGTTTTCCTGCTGATGCCCCCCTTCCTGGCCTTGTCAGGGGGCTGCAAGCGGAGTCGGGCCCCAGACGGCGTCCGCGTTCCTGGGGTGGTGGGCCATGCTGAAGGCAGGGGACGCCCGGGTCGCCGTCCAGCCCCGCGTCGCGGGTTGCGGACGCAGCCCCCACCTGCACGCGGCTCGGCGGACTCCGCGGGCGTTGGCGCCATCTTGCGGCCAACCGGGGAACTGCGGCCAAGGCCCGGCCCGGCCCGGCCCGCGCGGCTGCAGGGCAGGTGCTGACACCCCGTGGACGCGCCTACGCACTGCACGGCCAGGAGCCGAGCCTTCCGAACCGAGCCGGAGCAGCTTTGCACCGTGTCCAGAACATGGTCTGCTGGGAGACAAAAATGCCTTTGAAATGGCTCCGGGAGCAAGAAATTTCCTCCAAGGAAATTCGCTGAGGTTTGCAGCAAATAACATTTGCACCTCCTAGGTGGCTAGAAGTCTGTTTTTTTTTTTTCAGAGCTGTTGAACAAATTGCTTTGTCCCTTCCTTCCGGCTGCTTCTGCCCCAGGTGTGGTGTGAGTTCATCAGAGAGACGTTTGCGCTGGACCCGGGTTCGAGCTATGCCTTAGCAAGGAGGAAGCTTTAGCCCGGTCTGTGGCTGCTTCTGTTTTTGAGGCACAACAGAGAACTCGAAGAGGGGACAAGTGAAAGTCGTTTTGTTTCTTCTCTATTTTCAATTCTGTCATCCCAATATCCTTCAAACACTTCTCTTCTGGGCTCACGAGGGGCCTTCGGTGTTCCGGGAGGGGACAAGATGGCAGAGCTGTACCAGGCTTCCAAAGCTCCTTGAGAACCGGTGAGCCCTTGGCTTACACAAAGTCAATGCCGTTTCTTAAAAATCCCTTGTGCTCCAGCTTCTAGAAACTATCTTTTGTGGGACGAGACGTGTGTCCTTGATGAAAACTGTCCGAGCTCGTTTTACCGAGTGTGACTTTTCCAAGATGGCACCGCTCACGGGTGGCGGAGCCAGGGAGGACAGAAAGCCGGTGGGTGGGTGAGGACTGTTCTTGGTTAAAAGCAGCTCAGCAGCTAAATGTGACGCCTGATCCTACGTGGAAGAAATTTTAAAAACGAATAAAGGACAAGTTTGAGGCTACTTGGGGAAATTGGAATCCGGGGTGTGTATTAGATAATAATCTTATACCAAAGGGAAGATTCTTGAGCGTTATAATTCTTTGTGGTCAAGTAAGAACACGTCCTTGTTTTGGGAAGCGATGTGTCAAAACGTTTAGGGCTAATATTCAGCATCTCTGCAACCTTTCAAAGATTCGGCCAAAATCATTGCGGGCAGAGGGGAGAAGGAGAGTGGGAGGCGGTGCAAACGTAACGAAACGAGAACAGTCGTTGGACTTACGGTACGTGGTGTCGATTGTACTGTTCTGGCCATTTTTTTGTGAGTTTGAAATTTTTCAAAGTAAAAAATGGGAGAAAAATACCTTCGTTACTCTGAAAATTCAAAAAGGAATGTGACACAAAGCAAAGGGCTTTCCATTGCACGATATTTAGTGAGGGCCTAACTTGGCCCAATATCCCCCTCTCCTCTTCTGGAAGTTTCTGAAAAACAACCATCAACAGCTATGGAGTTTATCATAGTGACTTGTGGTTACAAAAAAATAAAAGGTGATTCTCTAAGGAGTTTATCTGTCTTATAATTCAGACATTGCCACTATTAACACAACCAAAGATGCAAGACATTCAATAGAGCACTGCGGGTGTTTTCAAAACATAATATTAAAGATATACACACGTTGCTTTATAAGGAGAGTTAGTTACATGCTTCTCTGTGCTGCTGGTTTCATGCATGTCCTAAATAGTTGCCTGTATCTGTGTCACCATGATCGGTTTACATGTGTATCAGTTAGTTTGGGCTGATGTATGCTTGGTAACAAACACCTCCAGTTTCAGTGACTGCCTCCTGAGCCAGCCCTCTGTTGGCAGGGTGCTCTGCTCATCAACGTCACTCGGGAGCCTAGGTTTTCAAAGGCCACCTGTCATCAGATGGTCCCAAGTCATCTTGGCAGGAGGAAGAGGAGGAGATCCGGCCCTGGGAATTAAGTTGTACAGCCTGGAAGTGCCACGTCCACCTCCGTTCACAGCTCATAGGCCAGAGCTGGTCACAGGTCCCCAAGACACCCACGAGACGGGAAGTTCAGTTTTCCCCGTGCCCAGGCAGGCAGGCAGCCTGGCCTCATGTCCTTCATACGTGTCCTACCTTTCTAGCCAGCAGTAATGACCCCCTGTTCTCCGCAGCTCCAGCAGTGTGTGCGGACTGTGCCAGGCATCATGACATCTTACCTCATCCTCTTCAGGGGTAGGTGCCATTCATACCACCATTTTCAGGTAAGGAAACTGAGGTTTAGTGATCACAAATAACTGAACCAAGTCTTGCAGCTTACCAAGTAATGGAATTGGAATCTCTTAACCCAACACTTTGCTGCCTCTTTGAGGTTAAGGGTTAGGGCCTTGGAAACTGGAGACTTAAAAACTTAAAATAGAAACTTCTGTATAAATAAAAATAGTCTATATGGAAACTTCATAACTACATAGACACAGTCAACAGTGTATGTATGAAGTCATGACTTCTGGCTACACATGACTCAATGTGTATGAGGTTTTAGTTTTTTATGTCATTAACTTGAAACCCCGTGGTTACCCCTACGGGGTGGATAGAGCCTGCGGGAAGCAGACTGCTCCCTGGGAGGTCAGACAGGACTCTGAGGTGCGGAGAAGGGAAGGGAGAGAAAGAGGCGAGGAGGGTTTCGATTGTCGTCCGATGTGCAGCCTGTGGGATGGTGTTCTCAGCCCCAGGGAGTCAGCCGGAGTCGAAAGTGACAGCTTCAGCCAGTGCCTCAGTGACCACTGGGTCTAGTGCCGGGGACTCACAGTGGCCATACCCGAGTGAGGCCCCAGTGGGACACGTGAAGGACTGAACAAGCCAAGAGCTCAGAGCAGCACCCCCCAGGCAAACGAGTCGAGCCCTGGCACAGGACGCTCTTCACCTTTAAGAGTCATGAAAGCCCCCAGCTGTGCACGGTGCACCCACACAGGGGACTTCCAATGGCAGCCCAGCCTGGACCCCGGACAGGGCCTTTGCACTTGCTGCGCCCCTTGCCAGACGCCTTGTTTCCAGTCCTCTGCCCCCAGCCACCCACCTATCTCCCCCATCCCTCCCCTGAAGTTTCATTCTCTCGGCGGCACTGACCACCCTGCCTTGCGCAGTCTTATTCGTCCCTCTGTTTGTTGGCTACGCCGCCCCCATACCGGGAAGGCAGGCGCGGACCTGGTCTGCCCCAAGTCCTCCCGCTGTTCTTGGCACAGCCTCCATGCTCCTAATTACGAATTGAACGAACGGATGTCACTTGGGGGCTTCAGAGACACCCCTGCCTCCCACTGCCATGACCACGTCTTATCTCCCATGTGGCGGTTCAATCCCAGAATTCAATTCAGACATTTACTGGCACGTATTTAGGCGGGTGCTGCATACGGAAGGGGGAAGAGTCATGACTCCCGGGCTTCCAGGCTGGGGCAGGCGCCCAGGCAATGACAGGCGGAAACTTTTATCTTAGGCAAACAAACACAGAGCCCTCGCTGAGTTCCAGGTGCTGTTCTAAGTGCCACATGCGTATTCAAGCATCCAGAGGTGGATGCCAGTCGTGCGCTATCCCCACTCCATGAACGAAGAGCGTGGCGCAGAGACGTCCAGTCACTCACTCAGGCACACACAGCCGGCAAGCTGCACACCTGGGTCCAACCCCGCACCGCAGGCCCGGCCCTGCCACACAGCTGCGGTGCAGGAGGGAAGGAGGGAGGGCTGCGCCGAGCAAGCCGGGCTGATTCAGACGGGGGAGGCAGAGCAGCCACCTACGCTTCTGAGAAAAGCTGGCAACCAAGCCGGGCCTTGAAACCTGGGTAAGAAAAACTTTACATGCAAATGTCCTTCCTTCTCCTTGACCCTTCTTCGGGTTGTCAGACGTAGCAAATAAAAGTAAAGGTGCCCACAGACTGCATGAGACATACTTATACTAAAAGAAAATTCATAGTTATGTGAATTTCAAATTTAACTGGTAAACCTGCAATTAATCTGTCAAATGTGAATTTGGTGGGGGTGGGGGGAGAACGTTATTAAAACTCTTAATTATTAGCTTCCAAAACAATCTTACATTTATTATTAGCTGCAACTTTAAATAACTACATATTATTAAAGTTCACCATAAAAGGGATCATAAAAGAGAATGTGTTTATTTTTCTCTGTATTGCATGGTTTCAGATACAGGAGACATCAGTGGGTTGCTCACCGCGTGAAATGTAGAAGGAATTGCACTGATTGTTAACGTCATACACGAATTACATGGCCGAACGCCCCACAGGACAGAAGACCTCCACGTGAACAGGACGGTTTCCTGCCACACCCTCCACCACTCTCAGGGACCATTCACTCTTTATTTCTTCTGGCTGTCGCAGTGGGTCTCAAAAAGGGGAGGGGGCTTTGCTGTTGTTTCTCTTCTGGGCAACTAGAACTGTGATGCCCTGGCTTCCCGCTCTGTATTTAAAGATGGTAATAAGTTTACTTTGAAGAAATTGGCTGGTTCCCATGTGCCAGGGGCATGTTCTGAAACGCGACCCAAATCGTTCCCGGTTATCTCTATTGCGTAACCATCACACGCGGGGCACGGTGCGCTGTAAACGAGCATCCCCGTCCACCTGACGGTTTCGGAGCACTGTGCCAGATCCTCCCTTCACCCCCCAACTTCCAATACAGACTTTTTTTTTAATTTCTTTTGCAGGTTTCCTTTCTTTTTGCGTTGAAGTCACACATCTTCACTCTCGTCCTTCCAAACCCTTCACCGCGTCGGCTGACTCACCGCTGTGTTAGAGCAGTTTGTTGAAGCCCTACCCTTTCCTTTTGCTACTCAACAGGCCAACGTGGGGTAGGATTTTTTTTTAATAGACTAGGTTTAATAGACTATTTTTTCAGCACTTTAGGTTCACAGAAAAATTGAGTGGAAGGCACAGAGACTTCCCACATACCCCTCATCTCCGAATGTGCACAGCCTCCCCCGTTACCAACACCCCCACCGGAGGGTACTTTGGTTACAGTCCATGAATCTTCGTGGACACGTCATTATCTCCTGGAGTCCACAGTTTACATGAGGGTTTATTTTTGGTGGGGTAGAATTTTTAAACTGCAAACATTGTGTGGGTGAGGGTGGAGGAGGGCACTTCTGGGATGGAAAACAACATGAGCCAAACCTGCAAGGACACGGGCGGAGTCGCATTCAGAGGTGGGAGGGAGGCAGCTCAGCTGAGAGACGGGGCTGATGTGGAAGCCGGAGTCCAGCAGGGGCTCGGCTGCCCAGCTGAGACGTCTGTGCCTCGCTAGGTGGAGGCAATGGGAAGTCAGCAAGTCACTGCAGGTGGACGTGCAGGTGGGGTTCAGGTGGACGGAGGGCAGGAAAGAGAAGGAGCAGAGAAGGGGGAAGGAGGAGCAGGAGGAGGTGTGTTTGCCTCTGAGGCTTGTTGCAGAAATTATATTTAGATAAGACGTCTAAGGCACTAAGCTCAAACACCCAAACCCCGTTTGCTGTGTCTGTATCTGTAAAGTGGGTCTTAAATGCTTTTGTCTATTTCACAAGTGAGGATTTGATGAAGGATTGGACACATCATTTTGAAAGGCAGCAACCACTTTTTGAGTGCTTACGACGCGCTAGGCACATTGCTAAGGGTATGCATGGCCTCATCAGGGAGTGGTTTCCAGTGGCTTGCTTCCCCCACCCCGCCATTTGTACGTGTGTTGGGGGAGGGGGGCTGTCCTCTTCTTAATGCGTGAATGATGCACAGCCAGACTGTCTCCTTTGCTCTCCCGCTGGCCTGGAGCCTGGGAGGGCACGGACTTGGATGTCCGTGCAGCCTGGGCTCCCCAGTCGTTCGCTGGCCCTTAGATCGGCATAAATGAGTGCGGGGTGTAGATGAGCAGACGCGGGCTGCCACATTCTTTCCTTCTGGCGGAGATCCAGAGGTCAAGGTCAGAATCTAAGCGGTGTTTCTCTAAGGGTGGCCTCAGACCCGCACAGGAGTCACCCGGGACTGGGCTGGTCCAGACACTCCCTCTACTGGACACTCTAAAGAAGTGCGGGGCTGAGTGACCGCACACCCAGGTGTGAGCACCTGAGTGTCTGCAGAGTCTCAGAGGAGAGGATCTCGCTCTGGAGGAGCAATCAAGGCCAGCTTCCTGGAGGAGTCGGCCCCTCGGGACTGGAAGAGAAGGTGGGGTGTGTTTGAATCAGAAGTGAGGTCTGAGAGGCCAGGAACTGGTTCACGTCAGTAACCCCAGGGCTTGGCAAAACTCCTGTTAGAGTTTGCTCAACGCCCAGGCGAAAGGCCCGGGAGCCGCTCGACCCTCCCCAACGCAGAACCCCTCGGCCTGTCCGCCATACTGCATGCGCATGCGCACCCCGGCCGGTTCCACTGCGCCTCCGTCCCCGCCAGTACGCAGGCGCGCGGCGGGTGACGTCACTCCGCGCCAGACTCCGCCGCGGAACGTGTCGCGCCGTGACGGCGTCGCCATGGAGCCGAGTGCGGGTAGGGGGCGCGGCTGGGCTGCGGGGCTGGCGGAAGGGGCTGGGGGGTCCTGGGGGTGGCTGGGAGCCCCTGAGGCCCCCTGGACTGGCGGGGGGCTCCGAGGGGCCTGTGCGGGGTCCGGGGTCGAGCCGGCGGCGGGCTCAGACTCGGATTCTCGGTAAGACATCCGGAATAGTAAAGGTAACGGGAAGAAGAGCCAGGAGGGCCACCTGCTGACACGTGGCGGGTCCCGCGGGCCCCGTGAGATCGGGGGAAACTGAGGCAGGGGCAGGAATGGAAGCCAGTTTAACCTGTACGCGGAGGGCGCTTAGTCGCTGTCGTCTCGACAAATGCTTTCGGAGGCCGGGCCGAGGCCCTGCTCTGGGCACTAAAGAGCCTCCAGAGCCCCGGCCTGAGATCACCCTGTGGTGGGGAAGAGCCTGGACAGTCGATGTAGGATGGCCTGGCAGAGAGGGGACCGGTACCGCTAATGCTCAAGTGTGCCACGGTCTGTTAAATCGAGGCTCCACAGCCGTGAGCGAACAGATCCGCTACCTGTGCAGCGTGTAAACAGTAAACGGGGCGATAACGCAGGGGCGTGGTTATATGATTTCCACACGTGAAATCCTTGCTTGGTGATTCACAGTGCCGGCCATACGCTATGTTGTTAGGAAAATAAATCAGGCGGTAGAGAGAGTGATTGGAAACAAGCTTCTGTACAAGTACAATAATATCCCTGGACCAACAAAACCAAAATTTCAGTAAATATTTTAAAATGTGTTCATAGGAATATGCTGATTTTATGTTTCTCCTACTTCACTGGAAACTAATTTTTATGTTTCTCTACTCTAAGAAGAGCACATGGTTAATGCAAATTTTATTGGTTGGTACTGCCCCAGATATTTAAAGTATATTTGTTGCCTAACAGCGCATTTCTAAAGTTGGATATAGAATAAAAGATTCCCCCTAATAGAGGGAATTGTAGTTGGTAATCTAAAATAATAGCCGGCACACGGATCACTTAGTTTTAAGACGAGCTTACGTGACTTACAGCAAGAATAAACTAATCCCAGTTACACCAAGCCTGAATAGACTGCGCTTACAGTTTCTTTGCAATTCAGCAGAACTTGTGTGTCCCAGTGAGGACTCTAGAAATGCTTGGCTACATGGTTTGGGTTGTATTTCATTCACCTACTGCCACAAGGTTCGTAGAACTGGGTTATTTAATTTACTCTGTTTTGGGACTTTAATAATTTCTCTCGAGTGCAAGACTTATCATTAACCCTGATTTTCTGGTGTAGAGATCAGAACTAGATGTGGTCTGGCGTGGTCACAAACTCGGGTGCAGAGGGTGGAGGGTGTGCAGCGTGGTCTGAGACGGCTTGCACTGTGGAATTCCTTCTGTTATTAATAAGTCACAACGCTTTTGTTGCGCTAGGTGTTTCCAAACAGGACATCCGTGAACAAATTTGGGACTACATGGAATCCCAGAATTTAGCTGACTTTCCCCGACCTGTCCATCATAGGATTCCCAACTTTAAGGTACTGAAGCGCCTCTGGAGTACTTAAAAGGAAAA